CTGCTGAGGTGTCCCTGTCGACCCAGGCCTCCTTCAACTCTTCGTCTTCCCGCGGGCCGCCCACCCCGCCCTCCCCGTCCGCCGCCCCGCCGGCGGCCGTGGCCGGCGCGCCCATGCGCACGCCTGGGACTCGCACGAGGCCGCCTCAGCCGCAGCCGCAGCCGCAGTCGCAGCCCCACTCGCCCGCCGGCGGCGCCGGCGGCCCGTTCGCGCCGCGCGGCTGTGACGAGATGCTGCCGTCGCCGTTCACCACGGTCCCTAGGTACCTCATCGCCACCGCCGCTGCGATGATGTCATCGCCCTCCGATGTCCCCAGCACGCCCGCGGACACGCCGCGCTCCGTCAGCCCGCGCGCCGGCTCACGGGACGCCGCGCCGCCGCCGCCGCTGCTGGCTGTCGCTTCGACGCCGCCGGAGCGCCCGCGGAGCGGCGCCGGCGCGCGTAGCACTGCGGGCGCGGGCGCCTCGCCTGGGCGCGCGTCGGCGGCGGCGGCGCCGTCGCCTCCGTCGCCGCCGCGGCTGATGCAGGTGTGCTCGGAGCCCCCGGACAGGCCGCGCGCCGCGTGCACGCCGCTGGCCGGGGAGTGCGCCGACGGCGCCCCTGTGTCCTCCGGGCCGCCGACCAACTACCGGCGCGGCCGCTTCAGCGTTACGGTCCAGCAAGGCGAGACGCCGCGGCAGGCGGCGGCCCAGTTGCCAGCGAACCAGAGCCTGCCAAACCTGCAGGCGGCGGCGCCCGAGGGTGCGGCAGCGGCGGGGGCGATGCGGCACAGCGGTAGCGCCGCGGCGCTCGGCGCCGCGCCGGGCGCGCCGGCGCCGCAGCAGCCCCAGCAGCAGCAGCAGCAGCAGCAGCAGCAAGCAGCGCCCACGCGCGCGCCAAGCGGGCAGGCGCCCGGCAGCCGGCTGCGGCGGCAGGCGGGGCCGGAGGAGCCGCACCTGTCTGGTGAGCAGGCGCAGTGGGCGGCGGCCCAGCAGCGGCAGCAGGCGCAGGCGCGACAGAAGTCGCCACGCGGCGCCGCCGGGGCTTCGGATGCCGCGGCTGGCGCGTCCCCGCA